CAGTAGATCTAAGTCCACATTTTCTCAGTGTTTTATCTCCCTTTCCAATAGTTTTCCTTTTATTTTGCACCATGATCAGCTCTGGCCGGGAACCGGAGGCGAGGGTGGTAAATGTGAGCTCCATTAGGTAGAATTTATCTTGACTTCTACCCCAGTTTCATCTGTCACACAAGGCTGGGCTCTTCTAATGCTCCTGCTAGATGTCATTTACTAAGTTAGAATGTTCCTAAAACATAAGCTTTATTTATTTCTTTGTGGTAACAAAGAGCCTTGGTTCCTCTACTACTTTTCCCACAGTGACAAATTATAACTACACTAATAAATGCCAACTGGTCACTGTACTTTCGGTTCCTGTTATCATCTTTACAAGAGAATGTAACACTATCAGCTGTGTGTACCAGACCTGCCTAGATCGACCACCTGGGAAAAGAGCCCATGTGATCATCCTGTGTAGGTCTCTAACCCTCAGATTATTTTTCTGCAGGATTCTTGGCTTTGCACACAGGGTCCCACACATGGTACACCGACCACACTGGCCCTGGTCCTGTGCCAGTCCCTCCCGCATGGTCTGCAGCCAAAGGCACACTCCTGTCTCCCTCAGGCGCAGAATTAGGTTTCACCCCTTGATTATAGACCCATTACCCAGAGTGCCTTTTCTACAGCCACCCCCCAATCTCAGCTCCACTGACAATCCAGCATTCTTCCTTCTCAGCTTTCCCCCCATACTCCTTCCTGGATGAAAGCCAGACTCTATTTGACAGAACCTTTATGGGGAAGAGATGTACATTTTGGAAGCTTGGAAAATAGAGACATCTAATCCTGGACCTGGTTTGGTGGGTTTATTGAATACTGCTTTGGAAAGATGTCAATTCTTATTCAGGTGTAATTTGTCTTCTGTTCCACAGCAGCTGGTTCTTCTCTCTTATTACCTAAGTGCCCATGTAGGGTATTTGGTCCTTGGGATTGGAACTATAGACTATACCCCAAATTGACAGGATGGTGCCTTTTTAAATGCCAGGTTTAAGATTAGCCTCCAGGCTCGGCGCTTATAGCACAGTGGTTATGGTGCCAGCCACATACACTGAGGCTGGCCGGTTCGAACCTGCCTGGGCCAGCTAAACAATGACAACTACAACAAAAAATAGCCAGGCGTGGTGGTGGGTGCCTGTAGTCCCAGCTACAGGGGAGGCTGAGGCAAGAGAATTGCTTAAGCCCAAGAGTTGGAGGTTGCTATGAGCTGTGACACCACGCCACTCTACCCAGGGTGACATAGTGAGACTCTGTCTCAAAAAAAAAAAAAAAAAAAAAATTAACCTCCAATAACCAGATCCTGGCTCCCAGCACAGGCACATACATTTCTCCCAACTCATAGTTTTCTCACTCGCCTGATGAAGCAGGAAAGACATTCAAGGTATCAAAACGGGGGGCGGAGGGGGTGGAGCGGGGGTTGGGGGGGGAGGGGGGGCGGGGGGTTTCCTCCCTCTCCTCTCCTCTAGCACATCACTTTTGCTAGCTGTCCAAAGTATTACTGCCAAACTCTTGAAACATATTAAATAGTAGTGACTGAGATGGCTTGTTGTCAGTCATAAATTAAGGCAGACAAATGTTTTTTGCACAGTTCTTTAAGTGGAAGAAAAATTAACAGTAAGTATCAAATGGTATGGTAGGCATTTTACATGTTATCATTGAATTCTCAAAATAGCTTTTTGAGGGAGTGGCAACAGTTCTACTTCAGAGATGAGGACACCAGGGCTCAGGGGTGATTAAATAATCTCCTTTAACATTATTCAAACAGAACTCAGACTCAGCTCTGACTGCAGAGGTCATACTCATTCCTTATGCCTTGTCTTCCTTACCATGATACATCAAATCCTCCAACATAGGGCTGGAACACGTAAGTGAAAGGGCAGGTCCAAGTATTCCTTCACAACATCATAAGTGCTAATGGCTGTTAAGTTTATATAATAGGTTCCTTTCCTATCTTTAATTCTAGAATTGTTTTGTTCAGGAAATGATAAAGAGGGAAGAGATGGCTGGGTGGGAAGCTAATCACAGAGGAAAACATTTAGCATCATAAAATGATCTGGAAAAAACAATATCACAGTAAAGACCACTTAAAAACAAAACGAGCCAGGCACAGTCGCTCACGTCTGTAATCCCACGCCTCCTCCCCAGAGGCTGAGGAGGGAGAATTGCTTGAGCTCAGGAGTTTGGAACTTGCCTGAGTGAGAGTGAGACCCCAACTCCTAAAAGAATGAAAAACCCAGCTGGGTGCCACGGTGAGCACCTGTAATCCCAGTGGCTTCCAAGGGCTGAGGCAGCAGGATGCTCACCTCAGCCCAAGCCTGAGGTGCAGTGAACTGTGATGCCATTGCACTCTGCTCAGGGCATAGAGTGAGACTGTCTCAACAACAACAAAAAAAAAGCAAAGAAATAAAAATAAAAAATAAGCAAGGAAAAAAACCCAAAGAAACAAAAAACAAAACCCATGAAGCTACATGCTATTAACCCAGAGTGAAAAAGATAAGTGAAATTGGGTTTAAACTCTTAAGTGGAGGTGAAGCAGAACTTATTAGCCACCAGTGATGAAGTAACTGAGAAAACACGTATTATCTTTTTCCACATGGACAAAACGTATCTCCCTTTCCAGAACATTAACTGTGTCTGTGATGAGAAATGAAGTAGCGGCTCGGTGCCTGTGGCTCAAGTGGCTAAGGTGCCAGCCACATACACCTAAGGTGGCGGGTTCGAATCCAGCCCAGGCCCACCAAACAATAATCATGGCTGCAACAACAAAAAAAAATAATAATAACCAGGCGTTGTGGTCCCAGCTACTTGGGAGGCGGAGGCAGGGGACTCCCTTGAGCCCAGGAGTTGGAGGTTGCTGTGAGTGCCAGGGCACTCTACCCATGGGGACAGCTTGAGGCTCTGTCTCAAAAAAAAAAAAAAAAAAAAAGAAATGAAGTAGCATCTAAAGCAGTGGTTCATAATCTAACCTGAATATTATAATCACTGGAGTAGGGGTAGGGAGTTTAGACCTATTAGACTCTAGAGGTGGAAACTAGGCTTAGTATTTTAAAAAATTTTTCTTTTCACTATCTTAAAAGAAAATGTCCCTAGGGAAAGCAATGGATCTCATTGCTGGCTATATATTATAAGCGTTTTAAGAATCTTAGAAATCTGCTGATGCCCCCAGCTCCACCCCTAAAAATTCTAAACATTTGGCATAGGGCGAAACCTTGGCATCAGTGTTTTTAGAAAGCTTCCTTGGTGATTTAATGTGCAGCTGGGGTTAAGAACATAAAAGTGGTAGTTCCAAATTCGGGTTGGGGGAGGCATGAAGGAAGGGCAGCTCCTCAAATGTGCTGCCCAAGCCCTCCCATTCCCTGTATTGATGCCCAGAACCGCTGTTAAGGGAGCCCATGGGATGGAAGGACACTGAAGAGCTGGGCAGTAAAGGAGGGATGTTTTCTAAACAGAGGTGAGGAAGGAGCAAAGAAAAGTAGGCACAGTAGAAATCACAAAACTGCTTTTAGAACTATTTATTATTATTTTTTTTAATGGGCAGAAAACACCACAGCAAAAGGACAAAAGCAGACATTGTTTTTCAGATTAGCTGCGTCAGCAGATTCCATTCATTTTATAGTTCCCAATCAGCTTTTATAAAAAAAAAAGTTTTTTAAAATTTGCATTTAGTTCATCTAAGATCAATAACAACTTGATCTAGTTTACAAACATGAAATGAGTATTGTTAAGAATTATTCATTGAGGCTCGGCTCCTATAGCTCAACCGGCTAAGGCGCCAGCCACGTACACCTAAGGTGGCGGGTTCGAATCCCCAGCCCGGACCCGCCAAACAACAATGACGGCTGCAACCAAAAAATAGCCGGGCGTTGTGGCGGGCGCCTGTGGTCCCAGCTACTTGGGAGGCAGAGGCAGGAGACTCGCTTGAGCCCAGGAGTTGGAGGTTGCTGTGAGCTGTAATGCCACGGTACTCTACCCAGGGGGACAGCTTGAGGCTCTGTCTAAAAAAAAAAAAAAAAAAAAAAAAAGAATTATTCATTGAAACAGATCTTTTTTGGGTAGGTGGGCCATCTCTAAAGAAGCTCTTATATGTTCTTTCCCTACTCCTTCCCCAACTCCACTCCCCCACCCCCAATGTCTTATATAAATCAATGAAAAGCAAAGGTTCCAAAACTGAAAAAAAAAATAACTCCTCCCCAGCTACAGTGAACACCTCAGTCAAAGGTGCAGAACTGCCTGCTAAGCCCAAATTGGCTTTCAGGAAAAGTGTGAGCTGCATTAGAAGAAAAGTTCTCAGGACTTTTAGTTCCTAGGACCACTTAGAACCCACCATCTCTTCTATGTGGAAAGCAGCAGGATGATCTTTCTGAAATAACATTACTGAACTACCGTAATCTTGGGCACACCCATGGAAAAGAGGCAAAAAGGACAATTTCCTTTGATGAGGGGAAAAGGGGCCAGTCCCTTCTGAATGCCTCTTGACAAGGCACTCTAGGGAAATCATCCAGCCCCATTCTGAATCTGCACACTATTTGAAGTTAGAGTATTTTCATTTTTGAGATGTAATTATTAGCTGAAATTATGATTTTCTTAAATTTCACAGATCAACTAAAATGCTTTCTAGAAAGCATTGTTCCAAAACATTAACCTGTTCCCAAAGGAAAACCACACACACAATTCTTTACTTTCCATCTCCCTAGGGAAATTTAGCAGGTATTGTTGACTCCATTAAAGCAAAGAGGGTGGAGGGAGATCTCTTTTGCAGGTTGCAATATAAAAAAGTCAAGTAAGCAATAAACGGAAAACAAAAGTAAGGGATTTTTTTTTGTTTTTGTTTGGTTGCTTGGTGGGGAGGGGAGGCGGTGTAGAGGTTACTGTTGTGACATGTTGCGTTGAAATCTATAAACCATACAACAGGAACAACTGCTTTTCTGTTTTCCATGACAAAGAGACAGTACTTCACTGAAAAACCTCACCCAGAGTTGCTTGCAAGATGGTGCAAATGTCTCCTCCAGGCTATTCTACAAGTAACAGGTATTCCTTCAAAGAAGCTGGCAGTGGAAGGCCCTTCACTGCATCTGGCAGATACTGGAGTCCCAGGCTGCGGCGCACAGCATAGCGGGAGAGTGTTTTTAGAGTTCCTGGGGCTGAGCACAGAACAGTCAGTTTTTCACACAGCTGCTGGTCTCTGGCCACCTCTCGGGGCATAGTACCATTTTTCCTCAATTCAAAGTGTCCAACAGCTCTGTGGAGGAGCTCAAAGCAAGAGTCCTCTTTCTCTGTTCCAAGTCCCCTGACTAGTAGGGCCACCAGACGGGAGATGGGTGTCTGACCTTTTAGGTTGATAACTCTGACCTCTGCGCCATAGTCAAGGAGGATGCTGACACTCTCAAGGTTTCCCTTCATGGCAGCCCAGCTGAGTGGTGTATCATTGTTGTAATCCAGGGCATTGACAGAGGCCCCACTCTCTAGGAGAGCCCGCACACACTCAGCATTGTTCTTAAAGGCTGCCCAATGAAGTGGGGTATCTCTGTTGCCATCCAGTGCGTTGGGATTTGCACCGTACTCCAAAAGGACCTCAACACAAGCCTCATCTTTCTCTGCTGCATAGTGGAGGGCTGTTCGGTTGTAACCATCCAAGGCATTCACCTGTAAGAAAGGGAAGAGCTATGTTATAGTAAACAGACTATTGGAAGGAAGATGGGACAGTAAAGCAGGTGGCAGTGCTCTGAACAAGAAAATCAAGCAATTCTCAGGGAGTCTTGGTGATGCAGACAAAGATACAATGAATCTTAGGTGCAAAAAGGAAAAGAACTGGCTAGGTGCCTGTAGCACAGTGGTTACAGCGCCAGCCACATAACCCAAGAGTGGTGGGCTCAAACCTGGCCCAGGGCAGCTAAACAGCTAAATAACAATGACAACTGCAACAAAAAATAGCTGGGCACTGTAGCGGGTGCCTGTAGTCCCAGCTACTTGGGAGGCTAAGGCAAGAGAATTGCTTTAAGTCCAAGAGTTGGAGGTTGCTGTGAGCTGTGAAGCCACAGCACTCTACCAAGGGCAATACAGTGACACTGTGTCTCAAAAAAAAGGAAAAGAACTGTCTCGAAATCACTAGCACTCTATGTTGTGCCTGACTAGCTGGCCTGTATCACTGAAGTTTTTGCTGCAATGTTCACTATTTATTAGAATCTCTACTATAGCACAAGGGGTAAAGCAGGAAAAGATGAAATCTAAGTGCTTGTAACAGGTCTGAAAGACATTTACTGGAGAGCTGTTTGAATATAAAGTCAGAGTAAGAGTTTGGGGTCATTTTACTTATTCTGACTCTTTCCATCTCCTATGGCAAATGGTAACTACACTAAAAAAAGATGAAGTCAAAGCCCTGCCCATATAGCTTTGCTATGTTCTTCAACCATACAGAGAAACTCAAAATGTTAATCCTAGGCAGTCCTTTGCAAAAACATGCGATGGTTTGACAAGAGAACCCTGATGCAAACACGTACAGGGAAAGGCACAACTCTTCCAATGCTGAGAAAGCAGATGGCTTGCTGAAGGGCAGCAGCACCTATAATTTTTTACCTCAAATCCCCAAATTTATATATAGGATATTGTATATTCCCCCATTAAGTCCAATAAAGCAAAACTGAAGCATTTAAGTGAGTTTCATCTCTTATTTGGCTAAAACTCATATTTTTCTTCTATGTTCACTTTCATCATTGACATAAATCACTCCAGGGTCAATCTCAAAGAAGCAGGTTTAATCACAAGAGTTAAAGGATAGATAAAGGCAAGTAGAGAACCACTGTATACATGGAAATGAGGATCCTGGGACTGTCTCCTTGGGCCCACTGACCTGGGCGTGAGGCTGCACCAGCAGGCAGGCTCAGCACAGTGCATTTTCACGACCACTCACCAACAGTCAAAACTGCTAGTTTATTTAACAAGCACTTACTTGGCAATTACTACATGTCAGTATTCCAAACTCTTTACAACTGTATGAAGGAGATACCATTCCCATTTACCAATGGGGAAATTGAGGCAAAGAAAAGCTTTTTTAAAAAATTATTTGTTTTTGTTGTTTGAGACAGAGTCTCACTAAGTCACTCTCAGTAGAGTGCTATGATGTCACAGCTCACAGCAACCTCAACTCTTGGGCTTAAGTGATTCTCTTGTCTCAGCCTCCCAAGTAGCTGGGACTACAGGCGCCCACCATAATGCCCAGATATTTTGTTGTTGTTGTTGTTGTTATTGTTGTTTAGCAGGCCCTGGGCCAGGTTCGAATCCACCAGCCCCAGTATATGTGGCCAATGCCCTAACCACTGAGCTTTGGGCACTGAGCCTATTTATTTGTTTTTTAAGTATTTTGTTTAAGTGGCTGACCTGGTATCTGAATTCATGAAATCTGGCTCCAAAGTGTATTCTTTTAGTTATTTATTGTACTGTGCTGCTTCATGCCAATTTGCCTACTTTCAAAAATTGATTTTTTTTTTTTTGAGAGACAAGGCTCAGGCTGGTCTCAAACTCCTGAGCTCAGGCGATCAACGCACCTCAGCCTCCCAGAGTGCTAGGATTACAGGCATGAGCCACCATGCCCCAGTCCTAAAATTAAACTTAAGATACATTAGCAGGAAAATAGGAACAAGATATGCTAAACATAGAATAATTAGTGGGCAAAACAGCACAAGTAGGGATTGCCTTATGATATTTATCTCCCAGTGGCAATGGTATTAGAACTGCACATCTGACAGTAGGTCTCAGGTGGCTTAGATTTAGTCAGAGCTGAGGGATCTCTGCTCTTTTTTATTTTTTTTTTTTGTAGACACAGTCTCACTTTATGGCACGCCATAGCATCAGACAGCTCACAGCAACCTCCAAATCCTGGGCTTAGGCGATTCTCTTGCCTCAGCCTCCTGAGTAGCTGGGACTATAGGCGTCCACCACAACGTGCCCAGCTATTTTTTGCTGCAGTTTGGCCGGGGCTGGGTTTGAACCTGCCACCCTCGGTATATGGGGCTGGTGCCCTACACACTGAGCCACAGGCGCTGCCTGGGATCTCTGCTCTTAAGAGTTCCTGGATAGTCAACAGGCAATGAGAAGAGTAAATAGAAATATAAACAATCCCAAAAAGGTATTCTGGGAGGGAAAAGGAAGATAAAACTCTTTCTTGGAATGCTGGACAGTCTAAATTACGGAGAAGAAAGACAGGGGAATGAAATCCTTAGGGTCATTTTATATATTTGCCATTACCTTTTCAATATTAGCTACACAATGTTAACATGAGTTAGGAAGACCAGACTGGAGGTGGGAAGAAATGGAGGAGTGATAGTAAGAAATTCTAAGAAAATGTAAAGCTCAAATTTCAGCAAATCATTAATATGAAAGTGTTAAACACATTACCTCAGCTCCTTTTTCCAGGAGTAACTCCACACAGTCAGCATCTGACACCATACAGGCACAGTGCAGGGGTTTCAGTGTGCCGTGGGTGCAGTTCACATCTGCTCCCTGAGGGAAGAAGCAAACTGCAGTCAGCTCAGACCTGCTCAGCACGACAAGGGTCAGAATTGAGTCCATGGGGTAGAGAGTGCTAGCCTGACTATACTGTAAATATACTGTTGTTCCTAGGTTCCCTTTCTATTAATTAAATATATAATATTATAATGCCAATGTCCAAACCAAGGGAATACACTGACGATGAAGGAAAGGAACTGTTAATTCCTTAGATCAAGTTATTAAGTTTCTCTACAAGGTAGCCTGCCAGATGGTCATCTGGACATCACTGAGGACATAACCTCATGTGTAAAAGCAGTATGAACCTTGTTATTGGACAAGAAAATTGGACCAGGAATCCACTTTCTATGACTCCCACACTCTGATAAAGTAGGAAAGTGAGGCTGTCAGACTGAGGCCAGAACTGGCATGCTCTTTTCACTATTCGACAAATGACCGTTGCCTATACTAGGGTCATCTAACATTATTTTTGTTTGTTTGTAAATATCTTCAAAGTAGCCTCTTAGTATCAGTATTATCTGATGCCCAGCCCCTGCTGGTTCTCTGATCTCTCCAAAAGAGATGGAGATACCAGTCACACTAAAGTCACTGAATGACTCAGCAGCAGAGCTAGAATTAGGATGTGACAAAGTCTCTACTGCTGAGTCTTCTGACACCACTTTTCAGCTGAGAACAAACTAACACTATACGGTTTTTCCTTCTCTGGTTGTGCCACATTCTCAAGCAGCTCCAGAGCTCCAAGGTGTAAATAGGAATCCAAAAGTCTTAAGACTGTTTTAAAACAATGTACAGAAGTAACCATCTGGATGTATCTTCTAGTGATCAAAATAGTAGTCTGTAATTTCTCTTCACCAAGGAAAAATACACAGAATAGGGTAGTAAAGACCCTCTGGGATACTAATCATATAACACAATTACTGAATATCAGGGCTGAGATATCAGATAGGATGTTGGCCTAAATTATAATTTCCATACATTTTAGGGATTGACATAGCAGTTGTTAAGACATAGGCAAGCAAAATCTCTCCATGTAATTATTATAACCCACATATGAAGAAAGGCTCACAAGAATTTGAAAATGGGTAGCGCCTGTGGCTCAAAGGAGTAGGGTACCGGCCCCATATACCGGAGGTGGCGAGTTCAAACTCAGACCCAGCCAAAAATTGCAAAAAAACAAAGAATTTGAAAACCATCCCAGCTACTTGGGAGGCTGAGGCAAGGAGATCACTTGAGCCCAAGAGTTTGAGGTTACTGTGAGCTATGATGACCGCTGCTTTGCCTCACCCAGGACAACAAAGTGAGAGACTCAGTCTCAAAATACACGCACACACACACACATACACAACACAACGAATTTGAAAAACACCTCTGCTTCGCTCTCCTATTCCTTCCCTTTAATAAAACATGTACAGAAGGCTTTTGAGCTTGATGGATTCCATATGCACCATATTCAGACAGAGATTTTACAAAGAACCTGAGACTAGAGTTATCTAGAACATATTTCATGAAGAAAAATATCAGATACATAGGGTGAAAGAAAGCAAGCAAGCAAAGAAAAACATTGGGAAGACTGTATTTTAATGATCAAGTTAATACATTTAACAAGATTGTAAAAACTCCTTGCTATCCTGTGCTGAGTTAAAGATGCAAATCTGTAATCTATTAAGATCCCCCCAAAGGCTTTCATGTCAATAACAGCACACTCACCCCTCTGATGAGGTCCTCTACATTATCATGTGGGAAGGAACGAATGGCAGCGATTGTTCGGATTAAGCGCTCTGAGAGAGAGTATTTGCTCTGAATGCTCTGCATAATATACCACATACTGGAACTCATCAAGGCTCAGAGTGTGTTCACATGCTCCAAATTGCCTGAAACAAAAAAGCTTTAGGGATTATATATCACTAACCACACCTGTCCTTAGGGTTACACTTTCTCTGGGGCCTTTCTAACATTAAAAAGCAAATTTCAAGGAGGTCAGTGATAAATCAACACCATCTTTTATAATCATAAAGCGCCAGATTCTAAGAGTTGCTCAGGGAGCTGGGTGAACCTGTACATCAGGCGTCCTCAAACTACGGCCCGTGGGCCACATGCGGCCTGACTAGGACATTTATCAGGCCTGCTGGGTGTTTTTGCTGCCGCTGCCTGTCCTGCTTAGCAGCCGACTTGTCCTGGGGCCTGTAGTCTGGCCCTCCAACAGTCTGAGGCACAGTGAACTAGCCCCCTGTTTTAAAAGTTTGAAGACCCCTGCTGTACACAAATGTTCTGACCCTCAAGACTTCCATGATTTAGTTTAGCATAAGATTTCCCTAAGACATAATCAGACCCCCATGGAGGTCTGTGTGGTTGATAAACAAGAGTAGGCAAGGAATGAAATTTTTTAAAGGCTGATGATGCCACAAAACATTCTGTTCTTCTCAATTTTTGTGGATTTTATTATTAGTACCACCTTTAGGTCATTTGTTACATTTGGCCTACAGTATAGTTACATATTATACATATTGTTTCTCCACATAAATTGTACTCAGTTGGAGGGCAAAGAATTTATATTCTACTTTTTTTGCCCATGGAGGCCAGCCACAAACTCTCACAAAAAGCAGTTATTTAACAAATATTGGTTGACTGAGAAGAAAGGAAGGTGGCTACACAAATCTATCTTAATCATGAAAAAGCATCTGAAAAATATTTTCAAATGTCTTCAGCTGAGAAGAAATTAGGATATACTAGAGGTAATATTCTAAAATAAGGAAGGAAAGTGAAAGTATACTCTGGAGTCATCTATATAAAACTAGACAAAAATTAAAGTTCATACCAATGAAATATGCTTTCCGTTTTAGAAAATTAAGCAGATTTCAAGTGAATAAGTTTCAATAATTGGCAATTCAGGACAATGAGAAAAAGATTTGGGGAAATATATGTTGAAGCCACAAAATGACAGAGTTCTAAGAGGAAAGAAGAAAATGATGCAATATACTTAAATTCAAGTATGATGAAAGTTTTGTCTGCATAAAAGGTACTACTTAGGGAACATTTAAAACGGCAGCCAGTAAGGTAGGCCATTTCTATGAAAAACCACATATCAAAACGCCTATAGCTCAACTGGCTAAGGCGCCAGCCACGTACACCTAAGGTGGCAGGTTCGAATCCCCAGCCCGGACCCACCAAACAACAATGACGGCTGCAACCAAAAAATAGCCGGGCGTTGTGGCGGGCGCCTGTGGTCCCAGCTACTTGGGAGGCGGAGGCAAGAGACTCGCTTGAGCCCAGGAGTTGGAGGTTGCTGTGAGCTGTAATGCCACGGCACTCTACCCAGGGGGCCAGCTTGAGGCTCTGTCTCAAAAAAAAAAAAAAAACAACTAGGGAAAATATAATATGCAGTATTAGCTGTCTAACTATAATTGCTTAGAAATCTGTATTCTTCTTACTATAAAATGTAAGTTTCTTGGGCATAAAGATAGTGCTGAACACATGGTAGGTTCTTAGTAAATATTTGTTGAACCAATGTAAAGTTAATAAAGTCAAGACTTGCAGTCAAAGCATATTATGCATATGAAATTATTTTGGTCATTTCATAATATATAATTTTTGCTTTTTTGTGATGGAGTATCCCTTGATACATTGTATATACTGTAAACACTGACAGTTTCTATTTTGCTAATCCAGTAGCCATTTATGTAAATTCTATTAATCAAAGATACAAGTTAAAAATGTTCAATTCATAGGTGTCAATGACTTAAATTGGGTATTCTTCTCCCCTCCTACTTTGTTATGAATAAGCTTACACACTTGTTTATATGTCTCTTTGAAATTTTCTAGTTTAGACTTAGCATGTTTTCATCTCTCAAGTAGTCACTAAACTCAGTAACAAGGGTCTGTATCTTGTTGCAAGGAAAAAAAAATGGCAAATGTGCATTTGAGTAAAAAAGGCAAAGGTGCATTCTAAGAATGGGGACAGAAGACAGAACAGCTAGTTAACCCAGGAAGCTTGGGTAATCCGGTAAAACTAAACCCTCATTTTCAGGGCGCTCTTGGACTCCAGGATAAGAACTCCTGAGATTATGACCAGTGGCCTGCTGCTGCCTTGAAGCTTTTCGTGAAACTTCAGGGCAGACTGGCAACATTCACTGTCGGGGAGGGTCAAAGAAATCTAAATTCGACCTATCTCTCGATAGCAGTCCGTGCACAGTTTGACTCCTAGCGGGCCCTTTCTCTTCCGTTTTCTTTCGCCGCGGGGATCCACAGAAAACGTCAAGTTCTTTTTTTTTTTTCATTGGCGAAGCATAAAGGAAGACAGACGACACTCAACAGCTTTAGTGCAAGTGAGGCCTCGGCCTAGCCAGAGGCGCCCCAAACCCTACTGCACCTGCTGCGGGAGGGCTGGCAGCAGCTGTCTCGCTGAGGCTAGGGGGCCGGGGACAAGGGCACAAAATGCAACGACATGTGGTGTCACTTTCCGCATGAGCTCCCAACAGACCGCAACAATCCCAGGAAGTCTCGTACTGAAAGGGGGTCCCGCAATCCGCGCTGGGAGAGCCTGGAGGTGGTCAAATTCCCGTTCCGAGCTACCCCTCTAAAGGCCCAGAACCATGTCTCGGCCTCGAAGGCTGGCGGGCCTCGAGAGGGGAGTGGAGGAAGCGTTACTGGGCGGGGTGCCCCGAATCAGGCAACCTCGCTGCAGACCTTCCCGCACCGAGGACGACACTCACCTAACCGTGTGGGCAGAGCTGGGTCGTGAAAGCCGCTGTCAAGGCGTGAACCGGAAGCAGAAGTGGTCGGCAGCCGACCCCTCTGTTTACAGGACGAGAAGAACGACTAGGATGGGCGCCTGCGCACTAATCAAGTACTGTGAGCGGAGCGCGCCTGCGCAGACTTGTGCATTAGCTTTGGGCCTATGAAGAGGTTTTGCGCGCAGGCGCAATGTGGCGCTCTCGACCACAGCCCCAGGTCTCCGGTCTTCCTCGTTTGTGAACCGTGGCTGTGGGGCAGAGTCTGTGTGGCCGAGCCTGCGTGGACCAGGCCTGCAGTGGGTTCATCCCATCTCTACCTCCCTCTTTGTCCTTCTGAAATCGGATCAGGGCACCTTATTCTCAGATTATTCCCATACTCTCTAAAGACTAAACTAATGCCACCTTTGTCCACTT